TCACGGTGTTGTCGCTTGCAGATTTCTTATACTTTTTCTTCTACCCTGAAGATGGGGGCGATACATTCCTCCGAAACGTCGGTTAACACCACATATACACGGTGCCAAATCCCAGAAGACTGCTTTCTTCATCTTTATTTTAGTACTCGCAGTCTACTCAAGATAACTTGCAGAAAATTTGAAGTTAATGGTGTAAATAATCAATTAAAATGTGATCTCAAAATATTTCTCGAGGACTGTAATATGTTGAATTAGATCATTGGAGGATTTAGCTTTTTGAAAACCTTAGCAAGAGATGGGAACTGTAGAATTTTCCCGTTAAATTTTCAAATGCCGTGTTTTTTTCTGTTTGCCTTGCCATTCTAATGCCGTCTGCATGGAAACCAAACCATATCTGATACAAAGTTAACTATATTGTGATGGCACAGTCGGCATAGCAACGGGCTACTGACGGGTCATCTAATACTTGATTCGCGGCAGAGGCAATATTTTCTTTTCTCAACAGCGTCAAGAGCGTCTCTGTGGCCCAAAGAGCTTCCTATCCAATGATTACTGGGGGGCTCTTTTCAGAGGGTAAAGCAGCAGGAGCATGAAGCACACTACTCACCTTTTTTCTAGTACCTAGGTCATGAATGGTGGAGCTATATCTCCACTCTACAATACGTCTTAATGTTGTGCTTAATTAATTAAACACAGGAACAATTTCACCTTTATCAAAAAAAGACTGTGAAGCGAGAAGATACTAGAGAGAGAATAGAATGTGTACCGTCGAATACGAACTGTTATATCCTGCACTCGGACTGATTAGGGAACACCTTGTCGAAGGGTTAATTTCGCCCGCTGCTATGCAACGAATCTCTTGTTGCCGCGGGAATACGTGTCTGCCTCAAATAATTTTTATTTGGGGGTAACGATTTCCTAGACATTACTGTCTAGGAATCGCTAGCCGTTAACTAGTGATGGACGTCTTATTGTTCGGCTTTCAGGCAGCACGCCACAATATGTTTATTACAACTGAGGGTTTTCTTCCATATATATGTAAAAAATCCATACAAGGATTTACTCTCCTTCCTAAACGGTGTGGAAATATGAAGGGACGCACTCCCCTTCTCGGCCATCTCTCATATTTGTTTTATGTCCTGTTCATCCCCACCGGATTCAAACCAGCCTGCTCCTCGTAACTCTGGCAGCACCGAGATTTAACAAGGCCTTTCCCTCACCTCCAGCCACATCAAATACTCTGTTAACTCACGCTCTGCCACGAGGTGAAATCAATAAACTTCCCACACAAAAATTCCCTACCTACCCAGAGACAGCTCATTATGTCCACGCTATAAAACAAACCCACCTGTTGTGACGAGGGTTTCGTTCATGTTTTTATTTGAAAAGTCCCTTTAATCCCTCTCACAGCTATTAACAACTAACTGAAAGGATTTAAACTATGAAAAATATTACGAACAGGATTGTCTCATACGCACCCAGCGACCTAATCGGCATTCCATTAAGCTAACAGAGTGAACAGAATTTTAAGGGATATATTTAGAAAGAATATTTGTTTACAGGCTGTTCTCAATGCGATAGCTCTATTTTAATCTAAGCAGATGTGGAAACTCCATTCATAAGACATATACTTTATGCTCTCTGTGTAAAACACGTGACACGAGAGGATATGACTGAAATCATGCTGGGAATAGAGACAATACAAGTGAAGCTTTGTTTCGGAATAAGGCACAATATTTGTCCCTGAAGTTAGGCGACTGTATAGTGGTAAGGGACAGGATGCCGCCTTCTGGGATGTGGCACTGTATAAATATTTTGTTAACCGACGTTTCGGAGGAATGTATCGCCTCAATCATCAGAGTTAACAAAATATCTACACGGCGCCACATCCCCTAAGACGGCATTCTTCATAGTCACCGCCGTGAAAACCTAAAATGTTATATAAACTATTTGGCTATAGTAACAGCCTCCATGCAACGAAATCAGTCTTCAGAAGATGACAGTAGATCAACTGACAAAACCGATCCTACATTCTATGGAACTCGAAGGTTCAATGCCACTTTCACAAGAATCCTTCCTGCCGTGTGCGCCACTTTGGAATATATTACATTTTCGCGGTGAGGGATTGTCAATTCCCTCGTTCAGTTTCCAAGCCAGAGGATCACCACTTGTCATCTGTCCAGCTGTCCACAACTGCTTATTCATATTATTAGCAACTAAGCCCTCATTTACGCCCCCCCCCCACTAAATTCGTAATCTGAGCATGCGCCATGAAAACAAACCATGTATATGCACTTGAACAAGCAACAGGATCACATGGGCACAGTCCTCACTGGAGTCCACACAGTTTCCAAGTGCATTCTTTGCAGCGTGACATTATTAGTGTTCTTATGTGTTCCGGATACCACGATGAACACAATAAAATATTATTATTATTATTATTATTATTATTATTATTTTATTTATTTAATTTTTCTTGGAATTGTTATGAATTTATTGCTATTATATAAAGACTGTCATCTTTTGTATTTTGCTTTTTAATTACTTTTGTGTATTTCTACGTACTCCGTGTTAACTTTGTGATTCGCCACTGTTCTGTTAAATTCGCACTTAAAAAATAACGAATTGAATTGAATTATCATCATCATCATCTAGTGCTTGCCTGTAATTTGTCTTTGACTTTATGTTGTGTTTGTTCATAATGTAATTACTTGTATCTACACTGTGCTTTGTCTGTAATTGGCCTTGCGGCTGTTGGCTCGCCATATAAATAATGTGAAGTGGGTGGCGCAACGGGAAATTGTCACCTGTTGGCTAGGTCACGTGACAATAATAAAGAATTGAATTGAACTGTTATGGCTCTATAGCCCATTGTTGCGCCTTGACCGTTTTTTCGTCAGTTTTTTGATCCTATACACAGTCGGTATGACTTTTTGGACGGGGGATCAGCCCGTTGCAAGGCCGCTACCTACACACAGAACAACATAAACAGCGAATAAAGCACAAAATACAGACATCATGCATTGAACTGGATTCGAACCCATGATCCCGGCTTCCGAGCGAGTGAATTCAGTGCATGCCTTAGACGGCTCGGCTACCGTGACCGGCAGTGTATAAGAATAATATATAAGAATTCAGTTCGTACCTCACAGGAAACCGATCCGAACCCACGATCCCGGCTTCCGAGCGAGCGAAGACAGTTCATGCCTTAGACCGCTCGGCTACCGTGACCGGCAGTGTATAAGAATAATATATAAGAATTCAGTTCGTACCTCACAGGAAACAGATCCGAACCCATGATCCCGGCTTCCGAGCGAGCGAAGACAGTGCATGCCTTAGACTGTTCGGTTACCGTGACCGGCATAAAGATATGTAATGACTTAAGAATAAGGAGAGATATTTAAGTGGCAGAATACTGAGGGTGAAATAAAAGATGATTTGTTTACCATGTAATTATAACAGCTGTTTATATTTTTATGAAATAATTAAAATCGCAGCAGATTTCATAATATATTCTGATTTTATGACTAAATTCTGCTTCATCAGTAACGGTTGTTAAGTTGTTCGGTTGTTTGTTCTGAACATGCTCTTGAAAGTAAACTTTGATAAATGGTCTTAAAGTTAACAGATATATTAGAAAGCCTTATTTGTTTCACAAATTACAACAAAAATTTGGGACAGAGCTATATTGCAATAGAAGAAACTTGAAAGAAAGTGATGAAGTTGGTCGACTTCCGCCCTCACTCCATTTCCCCTCGCTCTTCGGAGTACTCTTGACGATACATCAAGGACCAACCCTCCGAAAAAAAGGGGTGGTTGGAAATGTAAGGAAACTGGAACGAAGTTACAGCGATCAGAAAGAGAAACTCTCGGCAGTTCTTTTTTTTTTATAGTCTCTGAAGAAGATGATTACAAAAAGAAACCTTCAACCCCTTTGGAGAAATGTAGGTGGAACAAGAGGAGGGTGGCAGTGAAAATGTGATGGCTTCTACAGGAAGAAAGGAGATGGATGTCCTGTCAACTGTTTCCCATATACAAAATCAAGTTACAGTTCTAGATGAGTAAAGCGAGAGAAGAGCAGGGGACAGTTCTTATATCGTGGAATGGATTTGAGGAGAGAAGGAAAATTATTTCATCCTCCTTCTAAAAGAAAGGGACAATAGTTGACAATGTGAACTGATGATACAATTTTGTTGCATGTTCCCTCAGTGTGGGTGCCCAGAGGTAAAATGAAATATAGTGTGATATTAAAAGGTTAAGGAAAATTTGTCTTTTAGTCCAGTAGCGAATCCCATTCTCGTAACTTGCACAGAAGGATAGAGAATTATTAATAGCCCACAGCTATCCGACGTAAGGCAAAATTTGCAAGGAAGCAGCATTATCGTTAGTTTACAAAAGAAAAATTATATAAAAATATCCCTTCGAAAAAAAAATATATTCGAAGTTAAACTTTTGGTGAAATTAATTTTATGCAACTGGAGAGCCGAGCCGAGCCGAACCGAACCGAGCCGAACCGAGCCGAGCCGAACCGAACCGAACCGAGCCGAACCATCAAGGCCTATGGGAGGCGACGGAAGGAAAATTCCACGATTCCTAAACATTGTTACGTC